AAATAATTAGATTTGCACTGGTTTTCCCCCGACAACATTTGTTAATTGTTTTGATTCAAATTTATATTACATTACTGACTACTGAAAATTTGAAATGTTTGTTGATTTTCGTTGTCCAATCAGGGTTGAGTGTATTTTGGGTTGTTCAACGACTTCCGCTTTTTGTCCAGCAAACCCGGCACGCGGATATATTTTGGGCGAATTTTGTTATTCCCTCACGGATTTCAGAGCGAATTTAAGCTCTTTGATTAAAACATCGTTGTTTTGAGAGTTATACGGTATCATTCTTGCAGGGGATATCGATTAATCGTGAAAGAAATGCATTAAAAGCGAAAAATCGAGGATAGTTTCGTGTGACATATGCCAAGTCTGGGCTATTTTGGTCTCAATGTCTCCGTCCTTCCCTCGTTATAAGGAAGGCACAGCCGGGCGCGGGCAAATCAAGCCTGGGCCTCCTGTGGTCCGCAATGTAAACAAAGTCAGGCAGATAGAGGACCAAAATTATAGAAAACTTATGTTATCGTGGGACAATTCCATTTTGCCTTCATATTGTGCTCTGTAGGCTAATAAGTACGTTTCTGTATGTTGGCTGCGTTAAAATTTCTCGTGTGCTCCTGCCGACACGTTTTTCTTCGAATTTTGTATTAAACTCCATTACAGTTAAAAAATGTGAAATTTCTGATACATTTCTAATACAAATGACTTGCATCAATAGAAAGCTAACAAAAAACTACATATGAAACATTTAAATGGTTATTTGGGATTTTCAAGCAGTTTTCGAGTTATTGCCGTTTCAAATGTGAAAAATAAGCCAAAATCTCGCAAAATTCCTGGGTACTAGTCTGAAAACACGCATTCAACAGCTCATAACTCAAGAAGAACTTGAAAAACCCGGGTAACCGTTTAAATGTCTTATATGTAGTTTTTTGCAAGCTTTCAAATGATGTAAGTCATTTGTGTTAGAAATGTATTTGAAATTTCACATTTTTTAACTGTAATAGAGTTTAATACAACATTCGAAGAAAAACGTGTCGGCAGGAGCCCACAAGAAATTTTAACGCGGCCAACATACAGAAACGTACTTACTAGCCTTCAGGGCACAATATGAAGGCAAAATGGAATTGTCCCACGATAACGTAAGTTTTTTCCTTCTATCTGCCCG